TCCGGCGATCCTTCCGCCTCAGCCTTCCAAGTAGCCGGAATTACAGGCATGCGCTACCATGCCCAGCTGATTTTTTGATTTATTGTAGAGATGAGGTCTCGCTGCCCAGGTGGGTCTCGTACCCGCAGGCTCAGGCAATTCACTCACCTCAGCCTCCCAAAGGCGCGGGATTACAGGCTGAGCCACCGAGCCCGGCAAACCTAACTTTTATATGTACTAGGAAGCCAAAATATTCATGTGACTTGCTTTTTTGCCATATTTATTGTGGTGGTCTGGAACCACAAGATCTCTGAAATATGCCTGTACTTTAATGCTTTGTGTTGGCCAATGTTACTTTTAATATTTTACATAGGCTTTTTGTTTGTTTCACCACTGATGCATAGCAGAAGTCATACAGATCAGAACTTGACTGCCAGAATATTGATTTCAATAGATTTTCAGAATGCTGGCATACTGATTTTTTTAGCCTCTGTGATAGTCACCCCTGGCTGCTTTATTTCATCTCATGTTATTTAAATATTAAGATTTTAGAAATATGACATGATTGTGAGAAAGGATGGGAATCTCTGAATTAGAAAATCTATTCTCTAGTTTCAGTATGTTGAGATTCTTCTTTTGGTTGCAATTTAATTTTCAATTTCATAGTATGCAGTAGCTTTGTTCTGCATTGTCAATAATCAAGTACTTATTGAGAGCCCATCACTGGTTAAAGAGTATGAAAGATATAAGAGCTAATATTAAAAAATTTGGCATTTGCCTTCAAGGAGCTTATAGTCTAGTTAAGGGAGATCAGAATTGTCTAGGAAACAATTCTGTTAGAAAAGAACATGAAGGAATGACTGATGAAATGATAGATTATTTGGTGCACATGATAACTACCGTGAGATATCAGAAAAAAACAGAGATCAGTATAGAACAGACGTAGAGAAGACATTGTAAAAGAAGTGAAGAGTGTGGACAGTCTTAAAAGATGGCTAGCATTTGAAGAAGTGAGACATACCAAGGAGTATATTTTAGGCAAAAGGATAAGCATGAATAGAGCTTTAACAACTAGAATGAGGGCGGGTGTAGTGGCTTACACCTGTTTTCCCAGCACTTTGGGAGGCTGAGGCAGAGGATCACTTGAGACCAGGGGTTCTAGACCTGTCCCATTTCTAATTTAAAAGGAAAAAAAGCTAGTGAGTTTTTAGGGGGCAGTATGAACAAAGGTTCATACTGAGGACTAGTATGACAATGGATAGGTAGCTTTGGGCCAAATTATAGAGATTTTAAGTAACAAGCATTGAAATCCAGCATAGGCTCTTAAGGAGACATGTAACATAATACAAATAGTATTTTATAAAGGGTAGTCTCACAATGAAAAATAACAAAGATAGAGGTAAAAATGAAAAAAGAGGGAGAGACCAGAGTTATGTAAGCTAAATCAGAGGGTCCTTCTATAATCCAGTCATGATATGAAAAGGGCCTGAAATGAATAAAAGACATACCTATCTGAACAAAGTTCCTGGATATGGTGACAGTGACCTCAATTTGAAGATGCTGAGTCAAAAAGCATTGGTTGGGCTAGGGGCAGTGTCTCACACCTGTAATCCTAGCACTTTGGGAGGAGGAGGCTAGAGTATTGCCTGAGCCCAGGGGTTCGAGACCAGCCTGGGCAACATGGCAAAACCTCCTCTCTACAATAAATCAAAAAATTTGCTGGGTGGGGTGGCATACGCCTGTAGTCCCAGCTACTTGGAAGGCTGAGGTGGAAGGATCACCTGAGCCCAGGAGATCTACAACCTAGGTTACAGAGTGAGACACCAACTTAAAAAAAAAAACATTGGTTAACTAACTCAATTTGTTTAATTAGAATCACCATAACTTGGAAGAGGAAGTTGTCCTCTTTTTAAAAAAATTATTATTTTGAATTCAGGGATATATGTGCATGTTTGTTACATGGGCATACTGTGTGATGGTGAGGTTTGGGCTTCTATTGAACCTGTCACCCAAATAGTGAACATGGTACCTGTATTCTTTGTTAATGTGAGAAAGGAAAAAGACAGTGATGAAAATCTTTCACCTTCTATTACTGTTTGTATCTATGCTGGTGTTGTGGAAATGGAGTTAAGAGATATTTTCAGAGAAGAAGTAATAGGACTTAAGGGTAGAGTGGTTATTGGGAAAGTAAAGTGATTAATTAGTCACTTTAAAGTTTCTTACCTTTATATTTTTAGCCACCTAAACTTTATCTAAATAAATGACATTTTTCAAAAGATATAAATATGACATATAGAAACATCAATCTGGAGAAAAAAAGTTAAAGTGGAATTTGATCTTAAAAATGCCCAGAGAATTCCAAAAGGCAAAATTCAAAAAATGTTATTGACTGGGCATGGTGGTTCATGCCTGTAATCCCAGCATTTTGGGAGGCTGAGGCAGAGGATTGCTTGGATCCAAGAGTTCGAGACCAGCCTAGGCAACATAGCAAGACTTCATCTCTACAAAAATTTAAAAAAATTAGCCAGGTATGGTGGCATGCACCTATAGGCCCAGCTACTCAAGTAGAAGGATTGCCTGAGCCAAGGAGGTCGAGGCTGCGATGAACCGTGGTCAACCAACCGTGGCACTCCAACCTGGGTGACAGAGTGAGACCTTAACTTAAAAAAAAAATAATTGCCTTCTGCTTTTAGATAGTTGGATTTTAATATATCAAAAATGCAGAAAAGGAAACAACATATGTGAGATTATAAGATCTTGAGGTACACGATGGAATATTATACAGTCATAAAGGACAAAATTATGAAATTCACAGCAACTTGGATGGACTTAGGTTCTATAATACTGAGTGATCTATCACAGAAACAAAGAACTGAGTATCACATGTTCTCACTCATAAGTGGACCTTGAACAATTATCATAATACTATAAGAAAAGGATTGGCAGTAGTGGGAAACTACCGGGGGGGCACCCCTCAACGACAAGGGTACCTGCATAATGAACATTTGTATACCTAACACTCAATTGTACCCCATATATTTAAAATAAAAATTAAAAAAAATAAGATCCTGAGGAATAACTGAAAACAAAACAAACAAGAAAAAATATAAGTAAAAAATGTAATTTGGAAAAAAAAAACCATGAAATAGAAATGTTAGGCCAGGTGCAGTGACTCATGCTTATCATCCCAGCACTTTGAGAGGCTAAGGTGGGAGGAAGCTAGAAACTCAAGACTGTCCTGGGCAACATAGTGAGAACTCATCTTTACAAAAATTAAAAAATTAGCTGAGTGTGGTGATATGTGCCTGTAGTCCTAATTACTCAGGAAACTGGGGCAGAAAGATTGCTTAAGCCCGGGAGCTTGAGGCTGGGCTGCAGTAAGCAGTGATTGCACCACTGTACTCCAGCCTAGGCAAGAGTGAGTTAAAAAACAAAAACAAAAATTTAAAAATACCAAGAAGAGAGGCAATAGAACTAATTGACTTTGCTTAAATTAAGTTTGACTAATTTTATTTTATTTATTTATTTTTGAGTTGGAGTCTCACTCTGTCGCCCAGGCTGGAGTGCAATGGTGTGCTCACAGCCACCTCAGCATTTACTTGTTGTGCTCAGGTTATTCTTCCACCTCAGCCTTCCAAATGGCTTGAACTACAGGTGTGCACCACCATGCCTGGCTAATTTTTTGGTTTATTGTAGAGACAAGATCTTTTACCAAGTTGCCCAGACTGATCTCGAACCCCTGGATTTAGGCAATCCTCTTGCCTCTACCTCCCAAAGTGCTGGGATTACAGGCATGAGCCACTACGCCTGGCAGATTTGACTAATTTTAAAGTATTATTTGTAATGTCTATGATAATATATTTACTTTGATTATGATATACATGTTTGATGGATACTGTAGCTTAAATATAAACTTCCTGTGAGCACATCAAGTTTTTGAAGTTCATTTGTTTTTTTAATATATGCTCTTAGTAAAACATCATGTAAGACAGATAAAAGATACAAACTTTTCTTATATTGTTCTGACATTTGAATAATATAGGCATGCCAATGTAATCTATACTTTGCTTCTCATTTATTCAATAAATACTTAATGCTCTGTATTCTGTTACCCATCCTTTCTTCCTGTTCTTCACCCTACAATTTTCTATGGACACCTGAAAACTTTTGACACTTAAGGTGGTGAGGACTTTTATTACTGGATGTGGACTCTGTGTATATTATCAATATATTTTTAGGAGCCAGTAAAGCTTTACTGACCCATACATATACTAACATTTTCTCTCCTGGCTTGATAACTTCATCTTTGTAAGTCTTTGTTGAAAATTAAGCCTCTGTAGTCCTGTTTCATCACATAAACACCTTTTGTACCTCACTACACTAAATTTTTAAATGATTGATAAATACCATTTCACTGGATTCTGATTTGTAGGGGTTTTTTAAAGAATATTTAGTGAACTGCCCAAAATAGCTTTCTTCTCTGGTTTACTCAGTGAACTTATGTTTGGTTATTAGTTTGCATGAGTCTTTGGAGACAATGGGAGAATATTTTTGAAATTTCTTTTTTGGAATCTCACACTGTTACCCAGGCTGGAGGGCAGTGGCACAAACACGGCTCACTTGCAACTTTGACCTCCTGGGCTCAGGTGATCTTTCCACCTCAGCGTCCCGTATAACTGGGACTACAGGTACATGCCACCACGCCTGGCTAATTTTTTGATGTTTTGTAGAGACAAGGTCTTGCTGTATTGCCTAAGGTGGTCTCAAACTCCTGGTTTCAAGCAATCCTCTTGCCATGACCTCCCAGAGTGGTAGGATTACAGATGTGAGCCACAGTGCCTGCGCTGAAATTTATTTAAATCAGATTATTTATTGTGGAAATAGCTTAATGTATTTCTCTGTTAGATCAGTGAACCTCCCTTTCAATGGGAGGCAAAATCTAGTGTGGTATTAGGGAAGGAATTTACATGCATTCTGTCTTTTTATGATTGCATTAAAACTTTCCTGTCTTGTATTTTTAGGAAATATTCTGCCTTACGTAGGGATGGCTCTTTCCATTATGTCCACAGTACTCCCTTTGGCAACTATTCTTTCATCTGTGTGGATGCCACCATGAATCCAGGGCCTAAGAGACCCTATAATTTCTTTGGAATTTTAGAAAAGGTACAGTAAAAAATCTTACTTCCCTTTGTAGCTTACTTATTTTTTTTCAGATACATGTGAATCACTTAAAGTTATCCTAGGTAAATAAGTTATCTAGAAATGCTTTAGAAAAATTTTACTTTGTTACAGGTATGGCTAGAAGTTACTGGCTGCTTCAGCACTATTAGTGCTATCCTTATTCTTTTCCCAGAATTTGGGAAAGAAGTACTTCACACTTTATATTTATTCAGTAAACATTTATTAAATAGGTACTGTGTGCAGGATGCACTTTGCAAGGTGCAGGGCATACGGGTTTGTGTATTATATGGTCTATTCCTAAGTCCCCACAATTGTTAATTTTAATTAGTGGTCTATATATTTTTTTAAATAAAAGGACAACTGTAAAAGTAGATAAATTTCTTTTAAAGTATTTTTGGCAAGGCAAGCTGAAACTTTTGCTGCATTAAAACTGTCTGGAGGCTGGGCGCGGTGGCTCAAGCCTGTAATCCCAGCACTTTGGAAGGCCGAGGTGAGAGGATTGCCTGAGCCCATGGGTTCGAGACCAGCCTGGGCAACTTTGTGAGAACTCATCTCTACAATAAATCAAAAAATTAGCTGGTTGTGGTAGTGTGCACCTGTAATTCCAGTTACTTGGAAGGCTGAGGCAGAAGGATCGCCTGAGCCCAGAGGTCAATAGCGGGTTGTCTGTGAGTATGCCACTGCACTCCAGTCTGGGTGATGGAGTGAGACTCCAACTCAAAAAAACAAAACAAAAACAAAACTGTCTGGAAAGTCACATCTGAGAACCTCTTATTATTTCTTAGTACAACAAATGCCAACTCATTATTTAGAGAGCACACCTCTTAAGCAAGACATATGTGCCCATATGAAAGAATACAAAGATGATAAGATCAAGTTTTTGGCCTCTTAGGGTATTTAATCTAGTGATGGGCATAAAACTAGTGTAGAAATAACTATAATAAGGAACAGAATTTGCTAAGTTAGAACGAAGAGATTCAGAGTTATATGAGAATTCAAAAGAGCTTGAAATAAAGTGAACAGACTTGTCAGATGCATTGTATTACTTTAGGCATTTTATTTAATTAGGTTATATTTTGTTTCCTATCTATCAAGTGTCTTTAGTTAGGGTTGGTTAACTTATAGTAAATACTATTCCTTTGAATAGTGTTTTTTAAGGTAGGATTCAAGGCTTATGTGCATGAAAATCAACTGGAGTGTTATAAAATGCAGATTCCCAGCCAGGCTCGGTGGCTCAGCCTGTAATCCCGTGCCTTGGGAGGCTGAGGTGAGTGGATTGCCTGAGCCCGCGGGTTCGAGACCCGCCTGGGCAATTTGGTGAGACCTCATCTCTACAAAAAATCAAAAATCAGCCGGGTGTAATAGCTTGCGCCTGTAGTTCCAGCTACTTGGAAGGCTGAGGCGGAAGGATCGCCGGACCCCAGCAGGTCGAGGCTGCGGTGGCTGGGAGTGGCCACTGCACTCCAGTCTGGGTGACAGAGTGAGACTCCAACTCAAAAAAACAAAAAAACAAAAACAAAAAAAAATGCAGATTCCCTGACCTTACCTCAGACTTACCAATTAGAAATGCTGAGGAGTAGGGCCCAGAAATTCATTGCTGTAAGCACTTTGCAGATAATATTAATGCATATTTACATGTGTGCAAGTATTTTTTGAAATCAACTTTATGAGGTTTGATTTCCATGTAATAAAATATACTCATTTAAAATGTTTGAAGAGTTTTGACAAATGTATATAATACTGGTATAACCATCATCACAATGAAGACACAACATTTATATGAGCCTAGAAGATTTCCTTGTACAGTCTATCTTCACCTAGGAAATCACTGATTAGTCTTCTATCAGTTAAGATTAGTTTTATTTTCTCTAAAATTTTGTATCAATGAAATCATACAGTATGAGGTCCTGGGTCTAGTTTCTTTTGCTCAGTATAATGTTTCTGAGATTCAGCCATATGGTTATGTGTATCAGTAGTTCTTTGCTTTTTATTGCTGAGGAGTATTCCATTGTATGAATGTACTGTGATTTATTGATGGTGTCTAGTTTTTGGCTATTATGAATAGATCTGTTATGAACATTTAGGTACAGGGCTTTCTGTGCTGTTTAGAAGTTTAGTTTCAATGTCCTTTTTATTAATTGCAATGTGGTATATAAAGCTGAAAAGATGAGTGGTAATTTCTTTATTTCTCAGCTTCCTTGTTTATCAAAGGAGGATAACACCTGCCCTATTTATTGCAGTTACTTCTAGGATCAAATGAGCTATAATGTATATGAAAACAGTTTGAAACTTGCAGGAGTCCATACAGGTCGCTAACGATTATCTGTAGACACAATATAATTATTATTGTAAATCTTCGAAGCATCTTCTATCTTGTTGACATTAGATTTCAGCCTGAGCCCTAATTTAAGATCCTTCCATTTTTCTCCCATTTCAGAAACAAATGGAGGAGCTCTTATTACTAGCCAAGGAAAGTAGTCAGAGCAACCATACGATTTGGTTTGGACACTTTACAACATCCACTATCCTTTCTCCATCACCAGGAATCCGGTCAATAATCAGGTAAGACAACTTCCAAAATAAAAATGAATTTTTTTTAGTTCTTTATGTTGCTGTACCTATCTTGCTTTCCTGAAGAGATATTTTTGTTAGTTTGGCCTTACACGTTATCTTTGTTCATTTATTTCACTTATTTTTTCATTGGTTAGTTCGGCTACCGCTTATTTGTGTGGGCACCTCCATACACTTGGTGGACTGATGCCTGTTTTGCACACTCGTCACTTCCAGGGCACTTTGGAACTTGAGGTGGGAGACTGGAAGGATAATAGAAGGTAAGAAAACTACCCCACAAAATAAAACTTGTATACATAAGTTTTGCTAAAGCACTGCTAGTCTTCTTACTGATATCATGGGTGATCCTAGTTAAGGAAAAACTTGCGTTATTTTTGTGTGTGTGTCTTTCTTTAAGAAATGTATATTTTGGCAATCTTTGTAATTTTGCAAAAACCTTGTCACAGTGATGTTTACTATTACTATGTTACATTGGATTTTCAAAATAGTCTCAAACTCTAACATGCAAAAGAATTATGGAGGAGCTTGTGACAAATACAAATTTTTAATTTTTTAATTTTGTTTTTTTTTAGTCAGACCCTCACTCTGATGTCCTGACTGTAGTGCAGTTGCATGCTCATGGCCACTGCAGCCTCGACCTGATGGGCTCAGGCGATCCTTCTGCCTCAGCCTTCTAAATAGCTGGAACCACAAGTGTGTGCTACCACACCCGGCTAATTTTTTTTATTTATTGTAGAGACGAGGTCTTGCCAAGTTGCCCAGGCTGGTCTCGAACCCCTGGGCTCAGGCAATCCTATCGCCTCAGCTTCCTAAAGTATTGGGATTACAGGCATGAACCACCATGCCCAGCGTGAAAAATAAAAATTTTCAAGCCCTACCTCTAGAAATTTTGATTATGTTGGTCTTTCTCTTCCTGGCTGTGAGTATGTGGCTGAACCATTTCCTTTTTTTTTTCTCTCCTCACCAGCATTCCTCTGTTCCAACCCTGGGGTTTTATCTGGAGTTTACTGAAAGGACCTAACCTTTTCTGCCCTTGTAAACATATAAATTGCATTAGTTGTAGCAGAATAATTTTTAAAATTATTTTTTATTTTTGAGTGGGAGTCTCACTCTGACGCCCAGACTGCAGTGCAGTGGCACGCTCACATCCACTGCAGCTCGACCTGTTGGGCTCAGGCGATCCTTCCACCACAGCCTTCCAAGTAGCTGGAACCACAGGCATACACCACCTTGCCTAGCTAATTTTTTAAATTTATTATAGAGACGCAGTCTCGCCAAGTTGCCCAGGCTGGTCTCGAACCTCTAGGCTCAGGCAATCCTCTCACTTCTGCCTCCCAAAGTGTTGTGGATTACAGGTGTGAGCCACTGCCTCTGACCCATTTTAATATTTTCACATAGCATTGTTGAAGGATGTCAGGTATTAGACTTATGATGAATGTGTTAGATTCAAAATAGTCTTAAAGTATAGGAATAAAAGAATTACTCCAACAAGTATTTATTTAAAAATTAGCCAGGCTTGGTGGCTCAGCCTGTAATCCCGTGCCTTGGGAGGCTGAGGTGAGTGGATTGCCTGAGCCCGTAGGCACCTGAGACCCACCCGGGCAACTTGGCGAGAACTCGTCTCTACAATAAATCAAAAAACTAGCCGGGTGTGGTAGTGCACGCCTGTAGTTCCAGCTACTTGGAAGACTGAGGCGAAAGGATCGCCAG